AAATAACTTGTTGACGGGTGTTCTGCTATGTTAGAAAAAGTTTACCTTTAGTATAGTATCATATGTATATTGTATTACGGCTTCCCATAAAGGATTAATAAACACATTACTAGTAGTTTGATTAGAGGAAAAAAAAAAATTGATCAAAAATTTTTGCATAGAATAGATTTTATTATTGTAATAAAACTGGTTTTTTTTGTTTTTAGAATATTATAGATAAAAAACCAGTGGATCAATAATATAGTAAATAATATTTTCTAATCTTTAAATGCATATCTTTAGTTCAATACCTATAGGAAGCAAAATATATAAATTATCCTTTATTTGTAGATTTATCAGTTTTTTACAAATATCATGTTCAAACATTCAGATTATGACTATATTTAGTTTGCTGCATGAAGATAGAACCTCTGATCTTTTTGATGATTATGAGCTAAAAATAGATTGAAGCAGGAAAGATTATATAAGGAAAGGTTTTTGATTTAATTCTAATAAAAGCCTACAAAATCACTTCCTGATATAACAGACTCTATAGCACAAAAAATACTCTAGTTTTAAACTATTTCAATCTGATACTTGCTTAAAAGAAAAGGATTCCTAAAGAAAATCTGAAGTTACAAGTAATAATAAGAAGTATAAGTATCTTCTCTAAGGAACTAGGCAAAAAATATTTGAATTATCTGGATGTTCTAATTAACCTTGCAAGGTATAGGATCTTTAATAACAAGTAGTCACAAGTATATATATGATATAAATTATTTTGTTATTAATTTAATTATCAATATTCTCAAAAATAATTATATTTGACTTAATTATTTTATATGCTATAATAGTAACTTAATTAATTGCATCAAATAATTATATCAAATTGTATTAAAGATCTATTAAATTCTATCATATATATAGTCACAATGTTGCTGAATTAGGACTTAGTAGGAAAATTGGATTTAAATTAGTAGCAGAACTTCTTATCTCCTAAATTTGTTCCACCTAATATATAAGTTCCACTTTTATAATAGTAAGTTTATATAGCTGGGTTAAAATAGATAATAAAAATGAATTAACTTAAATGGACCTTTGATATAATATAATATTGAATATAAATAACTTAATAAAAACCAGTATGTCTAATATCTTTTACCTTAAAAAAAAAAAAAAAAAAATATTATAAATAAATTATTTTATATTTCAAAAATATCTCAAATATTAATTAAAAAGTGATACTTTTAATAAGATAATAATTCTAAATATATAATATATATTGCTAAAAATTTTCTCAAAAAAAAAAATATATTATAAGTTATTGATTAACTATCTAATAGCTTTGATATCAAAATTTATGAAAAATAGTTAAAAAACATAGAGAAATAAATATTGAAAAATATAATCAAATTAAAGTATTTTTATAGTAAAGAAATAAAAAAATAGTCCATTAAATATTATAGTTAGTTTAATAAATTCAATAAAAAAATATTATAAACTTATTATTTTAAATAAAGGTAAATGTATTGCTTATTGATTTTTTTTTAAATAAAAATTGTTACTTTAAGCTTTTTAATAATATATTAAACATATGATTTTGTATAACCATTATAAAGTAATAAACAATTAATTTAATGCAAAGACTTAGTAAAATAAACAATAATAATTTAAATTTCAGAAATCAAATAAAATTGTTAATTGGTCTTATTACTATTGATATGATTTTTAAAATTGTCAAATTAATTACAATTAATTTTTTTATATTTATTAATTATTTTATTAATTATATTAAATAAGTATATGATATTATTATCTCTAAACCTAAAATTTAAAATTTTTTAGTAATAAAATTTATAAAAATTTATTAATTCTTTGATATTTATATTAAAATAAAAACAGTAGCATTTTACAAATGTTACGTTAAAGGTGATGAACATTATATTAAAAAATTTAAAAAATTATTTATAATATAAAGAATTATCACGTGTCCTGGTCTCGAATGATAAGGCTAAGAAGGTACTTGCTAATGAAATCGTTAGTCAGGGATCTTATGATATGGATGACGAAAATGTTTCGTGCAATAGAGGTGAGAAGAATGACTTATATTCTTTGAGGAAGATAAAGAAGCAAACAGGGAGACGTGTAGTACTTTAGTTCTAACTCCAATAATAAACACGATATACCAGGCTCCGCCATGTATTCCTTCCAATTAGAAGAAACTTTGATGGTGATCGAGAAATCCAAGAGAATGATGAAGCTGAAAAGAGAACGAATGGAGCTGCCATAATCAGAAGGAATTGGAAAAAATAAACAGGAAAGAATGCAATCTCGCCAAAAAGAACCATTGAATTACACTCCGACTTTACGGACCTCGCCATATGGATGGCTTAATGGAAAGCATCGTCGATGCCACCTAAAGAAAACCGGTTGGAAGTTGTAAAAGGAAAGGTTTAGAGACTAGAGCGAATGTAGAGTCAAGAAAGTGACTGAATAAGCAGAAGAAGCATGCAAAAAAATTTTAAATAATTAAATAATTATTATTACGTAAATTTATTAATTATTGGTAATAACACTTCGTAAAATTGTTTTTCTTTAACCAAAAACTATTTTATAATATCTTTATTAGTTTCTACATTTAATTTATATAATTACATAATATAAATTTATTAAAGACATAGTAAAACGAAACAGATAATTATATGTGTAAATAAATCTTTTTTATTCTACTGAATAATATGGGATTTGGCGGCTCCTTTTAAAAGAGAACAATTTACCTTTGGATTCGAGCATCTTATCACACATCTAATCTCCCTATCCTCTCGAAAGAAAAAAAAAATCACCAGAAAAAAAAACCAAATTTTTTCGTATGCCGACTAGAGGATCACCATCAAAGTTTCTTCTAATTGGGAGGGATACACGGCAGAGTCTGGTATATTGTGTTTATTATTGGAGTTATAGAACTAAAGTACTACGTGTCTCCCCATTTGCCTCTTTATCTTTCTCAAAGGATATAAGTCATTCCTTCTCATCTTCACACATCTTCCCTTTCTCAAACGGACCTCTATTGCACGAAACATTTTCGTCATCCACATCATAAGATCCCTGACTAACGATTTCATTAGCAAGTACCTTCTTAGCCTTATCGTTCGAGACCAGGACACGTGATAATTCTTTTCAAGGGTATTAACGAAATATATATTATATGCTTAAAATTATTATTTTATTAAAAGTATTACTTCTTGCCTAATATTTAATATATTTCTGAAATAAAAATAATTTATCTATAATATTTTAAAACAAAAAAAATTAGTTTTATTACAATAACAAATTCATTCTATGTAAAAATTTTTGATCAGTTTTTTAATATATAGTAAAATAATTATAAACTCTTATACCAATGTTATATAGTATTTCCAAATAGCTAAAAAAATTATTTCATCAAAAAATAAATTTTCTTTTAATTGTTCTTAAAATAATTTTGTATTTATTCTATATGCATCTTTTTTTATACACTTGTAAATATTAGGATTATAAGTAATAAATTATTTTTATAACTTAAATACTTTAAATATTTCAAAGATTTCAATATTGATTTTTATTAATTTTATAGCTAATAAATGTGTTAACAAGAGAAAAATTTTAATATAAGTATTGTTCAATAACTTTAAAAGCTTTTAATATATATTTTTTAAGCTGGCCACTTTGTTTTTATATATAATACTATTAGTTTTTTTAGTTTAACAATATTATAAAATATTATTCTGATTAAAATATTGATTTAACATTATATTTCATAAGTATCATATATTTTGGAATTTCATAAATATTGAATAGAATAAACATATATATTAATTTTTTCTTAATATTTTAAGGATTATTATTTGAAAAAACAATTTATCAGAAAAATTATATAATTATAACTTATTATAATATAAAAAGCATTTAAAAATTTATTAAATAAAGCTTATTATATAAAAAAAGAAGTAAAAGAATTAGTAAAAAAATATAAAAAATAAAAGATTGCTAAGGAACTATTAATATATTTAAAGAAGCATCAAATTAAAAAAATATATAATAATAAATAAGATATAAAAAATAATTATTAAAAGAAATCTATAAAAAGTATAAAAATTGTTAAGAAAAAACAATTGAAAAAAAAAAGTACAATATAATAAATTTTAGATATCTATTAGAATAAAATTAATTAAAGAAAAATAATAATAAATAATAAATAATAAATAACTTAATTTATAAAAAATAAATTTTTTTTATTTACGTTCATTTTATCTAAAAACTTTTTTTTAAAAAAATTTTTCACTTTCTTTCTTTTTCAATTCTTTTCTTCTATAAAAAATAAAATTTTATAACAGGTAAAGTTTGAGATATACTAATACCATACAAGACTTCTTTAATTATCAAATATTATTCTCCAAAAATTATATACTATATATATATAGTACTGACTGATATATCTATTTTACATACTGATTCAGCAGATGTTAAGATTGTGATCTTCTCATTAAGGTATAATGATATGATAATCATTTGATTGGTATTACAATAATCATTTAACAAAAGATACTACCTATATATTTGAATATACAGACTGGATTATATTCCATCTTAATCAACTTTTATAAATTTTCAAATATAATTACTTATTTGGATATACAGATTGGGCTGTACTTTATTTTAACAAATCCACATGAGACTTTTCTTTTTTGTTAGCTAGTGAATAAGAAAGTTTAAAGGAGAGCATTGAACTAATACTACCATTTTGTATAATATGATTACTTTAATAGCTTACCATGTATATAGAAGTTGCATCCTGCTTAACATTTATATCCTTAAATTTGATAACTTAAGCCAACTAGTTTCAAACTAAAGTATTTATTAGGAAATAAAAAACTTTGGGAACTTGCTTAGCATGGCTTATATAATCTTTAAGAAGTTATACCCTACTTGGCTACAAGAGTTTCTAGATTTGATAATTAGTATCAACCAATGGATAAAAACTGGAGCATTTATTAGGGAGTATATATTCACATTGAGACCTCTCTATCATATTAGCTACATGAGTAAAAAGATATAATGTGATAAGCAATTTTAGAAAATAGTTAGCAGTATCCATTACCTTTATATAAAATTAAACTAATAAGTTAGATAGTTTAAAACTAATAATAGGATTTCTATCCTCTAGATAGGTTTTTTCAAAAATATAAATCTATTTCATGAATGTCATTAGTATCGCTGAAGCAATAAGTAAATAGACTAGCATTTAGTTGTTGTAATAGCAATAAACAATGTTTGATGTAATATAAAATTAATCATTATTTAATAAAGATCTGTATCTAATGTTATTCTATTATAATAAAAAAAAAAGTATTGGTTGATATATTTGAAAAAGTATTTTAGTTTAAAAAAATATAAGCTAATCAAATTTGTATATGATAAAAGTCTAAGATAAGAAAAAGAAAAGCTTTGAAGTGAATCAATTTTTTCTGTAATAAGATTTTATATACTATATATTTGATAATTATATGTTAGAAAGTAATTTTTTTCTTTTTTTTTTTCAATTTTTTTTTCTTGTTAATAAACTGATTTTTTTTTTCTTAAAGGTTTTTTTTTTAGATTTTTCTTTTTTTATTTTGCAATTACAGTATTTCATCAATCTTTTGAAATATCAATACCTTTATCTTGATTAAGTATATATTATACTTAAACTAAAGTCATTTTTGTCAAGAGGTATAGGTCTTTTAACAATAATCTCTTTTTTTGCTTAAAAGAATTTAATTTGAAAAAGATTTTAATGGAATTATTTTGATTAAAAATTGTATTAAATTATATAAAAGTTGTTAAGAGTACTTTTAATAATCATTAGTCTCTATATTGAAGTCTGAAAATATATAAAGAGATATATTAGATTATAAAAGATAAAAATTATTTGATATAAAAGATCACATGTATAAGGTTTTATATAACTAATCATTGATTCTATTCAATATAGATAATTAAAAATATATAATAAACAAGTGCTTTTGTTTTAAATATTTAATATTAATATTATCTTTATATATTCAAAAAGAATTTTTATAGAGTTGATCTTTTTATTTATTTTTAATTTCTATTCATATCAAAAACTGCAATCAGTTTATCTCTTTCAAAAAATCAATGTAAGATAATCATATCATATTAAAAACAAAACCTTCAATATAAAAAAGACTATAGGTTATATTATAATAACAAATTGGTTCCTAAGTCCAATATATTCAAAATCTGATTCTTCTAACTATATTAAATAATCTATATTTTTTTCTTTAGTAGGGTTCTGAAAATTATCAAACCGGTATCAAAATGATATTGAAATAATACCGATCTATAGTAAATTTAATATATGGATTGTAACTTACTTATATAAATTTATAGTAAATTTAAATATTAAATTGATATTGAAGTGATATTGAAGTGATACTATTAAAAATCTTATTTTTTAACAAGTATATACTGTATATTAATTTATAATATAATTAGTAATTAGTCATTAATTATTTTTTTCTTTTTTTATATAAGTTTTCAAAATCTGTATATATTATCTTATATTGTTATAATTAGGACTCCGAAAAGTATTAAACTGATACCAAAGTAATATCAAAATGGTATTGATCTATAGTAAATTTAATATATGGATTATGACTCACTTATATGAATTTATAATAAATTTAAGTATCAAATTGATATCGAACTAATATCAAAGTGATACCATTAGAAACCCTAGTTGCAATAAATTATAATTAATTTACTTATAAAAATATTGTTAATGTAATGATAGTAAATAAAAGTTTAAATAAAATCTTATATTTAATGCCTATTAATAATGAAAAAAAATAAAAAAATAAAAAAAATTTAATTTATAAAAGCAATTTTATGTTTATTTAAATTATATTAATATATTATTATATTTTAATAAACTTTATATTAATTACTGTATAATTATAAATAATAATCAAGTTTTATTTATTTTTATTTGTTTAATAATAATAAAATAAATATTAAAAAAAATATATATATGGTGCAAACGACTTAATCACATCAAATGGCTAAACCATCACTGAAATTTGTGCTGATCTCTATATATATAAAACAATGTGATTTTATTGGTTAAAATATAAAGAGCCAATCATCCAATCAAAATTAGTTATTGATATTACTGGCT